ATGAAAAAGAGAGAAAGAGAGAGAGAGAGAGAGAGAGAGAGAGAGAGAGAGAGAGAGAGAGAGAGAGAGAGAGAGAGAGAGGGAGAGAGAGGAGTCACAGTCAGGCAGGGCATAGGAAATAAACAAATGGATACTGAGATAGAAAGAGATAGCAATTTGTTTTCCCTCAACTATTTCCTAGTTTCATCAGACTAAACCCTCCTGACTGGCGATGGTATACTCGCCGAAACTCTGTATTGCAACAGCTGACGTCTTGATTGTTCATTCAGGTGGAGAAGGGTGAAGATGTTCGTCTCAGTGGCCTGAGGGAGAAGCACTTTGGAGAGCTTTTCCAGAATGCAACAATGGTCATGTTGAGAAAGTCTCGTGTGACCACAGCCACAGTGAGGATGAATCAACAGCCGGATTCTAAAGGCGGGAAAGGGAGGATCCAAGTTGTCTTGGGGGTTGATGGGCGACATGACCGCTCTCATTCTTTTGACAGTAACCAAGTGCGGAAGAACCAAGCGAACCGGGATGAAATTCGGATGGATGCCTACGGCGATCTCGATAACGAGGCACTTGGATTTGGTGGCAGTTGCATGATGCAACCGAAGAAGGGAAAAGTGGAGGCCCAGTTTCCTCGAGAGTTGAAGATGTCATTCCAGAAGCGATCACGGAGGAGGACAGTCAAAGTTGCACCTGGAAATTGGAAGTCTAGTGATGGGGACAAAACTGATGATCTCAGAGGGAGAGCTCATCTCGGGCAAGGGATGTGGGCACTCCAACACATAAGGCAATGTCAAAGAGAGTTAACCTTGGGAGCACTGAAGGTTGAAGCCTGTGACAGTTGCAAATTGATGAGCTTGGACGCCTTTGAAGCACAGCAATGGTGTGGTGATTCCGCTGAAGATACCGATGGATGTGGGTTACATTACTATGACGCCTCAAAGCCACATGCTATGAGAGGATGGGATGTTCAGATTGCCGGTGACGGCAGACTGATGAGAAGTGCAGGCAAGATAATGGAGAAGAAAGCGGATGAGATGTTTCCGTTTCTGGAACACGGCCAGCTTGGGCAAGTGTGGACACTTGGAGGCCAGTCCTCTAGAAGTAGTTTGCCGCCATCCAGAATCGTCGCGTTTGGGAAAGATGCTGCTGCGTATGAGCAAGACAGCGAAAACACTCTTCCTTACAATGATGGTGATGACGCTGATGATGCTGATGATGATGGCAATGGTGATGGCAGCAAACACAGAACGAATGCTGAGGTGCTCAGGGAGGACGAGGAGGAGTTCCGTCTGTACAAAAGGGGGGGGGTCGATAAACGGCAGTCGCAAAGTCAGTTTGATGGGCTTGAAAACATTGCTCGGTATGTAGAATCTTTTGAAGTGAATAAGGGACGGGAGTTGTGGCTTGTGTTTGCCAACGAGGGAAAATCATTGTCGAAATTACTCTACACATCCAAAGAAGGTGGGAAACAGGAGGAGGGTAACAACAACAACCAGGCAAATGCTGATGAGGGGGGGAGAGAGAAGGAGAAGAGCACGGAAGAATCCTACACACAAGAGCAACAAGACGATGCCTTCAGAGCTTCAGAGGTGAAAGCCTCATACAAGCTTGTGGAGCCCTCTGCATGGTGGAGATGGCTCAAAACTGATCCGGCTGGACATTTGGAAATGAAGAGCATCATCAGGCAACTGGTACGAGACATGCATCTCATGACAATTTGATTTTGCACCCTCCCAAAAGCTTCATAGACGTTGTGGTGGGACTGTGGTCCTTGATCGTGAAAGGGGGGGCCGGGTAGGAGGTAGGGGAGAGA